GACGTTTTTTTCCGATTGCCACTCGGGGCTTGCACACCGCTGCTCGGTACAACAACCGGCTGATGATGCCTGTCTATCTCGCCAAGACGTATCGTCTCCGTGGTCGTGCGATGCACGGGATTCGACACTTTCCTGCTACCATCTGACAGCCTGTGCGATTTTCTCTGCACATTGTCTGCCATTATTATGACAACTTAACGTACGAGAGACACGATTGTTGCATTCGTCCTCTCGCATGTTAGAATCAACATTGTAGTGCACTTTTCCAGATATTTCTCTTTCCTTTTTTCTCTCTCTCTCTCTCTCTCTCTCTCCCCTCCCTCTCTCTCCCTACCGCTCTCTCTCCCTACCGCTCTCTCTCTCTCTCTCTCTCTCTCTCTCTCTCTCTCTCTCTCTCTCTCTCTCTCTCTCTGTTTCTACCTCCTTATCTCGCCGATTCGACTTCACCGCGACCGATCGTTCTCGTTCCTGCGAAAAATACGAGACAAGCACTCAATGGCATATTTTGTGCACCAATGAATATTGACAGTTGACCATTGCATTAATCCCACGAGGAACAAGTACGTTTACTCAAGTGACGTCCGTCCGTTTAGTAAGACAAGGAAGACTGTGCTAGCTGCTAGCTTCTGCTTGGTTGCTTGCTTGTCCGCTGACGACGACGGTTCCGTCGTCACGTTACACATCACACACGCACGCGCGCGCGTACACACAGCACACACACATCACTCTCTCTCTTTCTCTCTTTGTCGCAAGTCCTGTCCTTGCTTCTCCAATTGTTCAATCACGCCTCACTTAATCTTACCGTCTCGTAAGGCCTATTGTCCATACCGTTCGTACCCTTTTTCTACACTGACCGCTTTTACACGAGTACTTGATACATGTGTTAGTAACTAGTAACTTTCTATTAAATTCTTAATTTTAAATCTTAATTTTAACAATATATTTAAAGATTGATACTATATTGGTATATTAATATCAAAGTGATTAATTATATATATCATGTATGTACTTACACGTATCGCCGAAATGAAGATAATTTAATAGAAAGTTACTAGTTAATAACATGGGGGAAGAGATAACATGGTGATGCAGTTGGACAGTGACTGCGTTCCCATTTTGTTTCAGAACAGTATCTAGTAGCCGCCATTTTGCTGGATATTGTACTGAGAAGTCAATGCGGTTCTAATTCAGCTAATAATCCAGCAGGGTTGTGTTTCAAAATTCAACTCAGTCAACTCGAGTATCATTTTATTCTTGTTGATCATTGAATATTGAATAAAGATAAAAGATACTCGGAGGAAACAGAATCAAGTTTTGGAATGCATCTCAAAACAAATATCGTGTGCTGCAGGCTTTATGGGCCGTCTACATAAGTCGCAGACGCATTTGCCACAGCCAACCAGAAGCAGCAATTGTACTAATAACAGCTTTTCATTGGTCGCAAATGCATCAGCGACCTGTGTTCTGCGTTTGCGACTTATATAGATGGTCCTTTAGAAAGAGACATAGGTCTGCACAGATCTTATGTCTCTTTCTAAAGCCTACAGCACACAATACTTGTTTTTCTGCTGGATTGCTGGATTAGCTGGATTAGAATCTTGCCACCGTATTGGCTGCGGTGCTATTAGTGCCAGTATCGCAGCTAATACGGGGGCAAGATTTTAATCCAGCTAATAATCTAGCAGGAAAATAAGCATCGTGTGCCGCCGGTTTTAATCTCTGTCCTCTCTATCTATGACTGTTCATGAAGCCGATTCCAAATTAGTTACAAGCTGATCGCAAGTTTGCTGTGACAGCCAATATGAAGCGTTGATTTCAAAATGCAAGTTTCAGATTGGCTGTAGCAACAAATTTCCAATCGGCTTGCAATTAATATAGAACTGGCTTAAAAGAATCAATCAATCAAAGTTCTTCTTTTTCTTGAAGTAGAAGGAATGGAAGGATTCAGATTGTTGGTAGATTCGTTTATGCACTCTGTATTATGCGTTAAGCAAAAGTTTGTGATACGGTTTAAAAAAAAACATGGGACGTAATCCGTTTTTATTTTAAAACTATCTTATTAAATGGCTGCGTTCAGCGGACTCAATAGATGAATGAACGCTTGCTGCTATTGATGTATTCTTCCAAATCTAAAATACTGATGATCTAAAAGAATACATCAATAATAGCAAGCGCTCACTCAACTGAGTTTGCTACGCAGCCAATGACTGTGCTAGCATCGCAGCCAATACGGTGACAAGATTCTAATCCAGCTAATAATTTAGCAGGAAAACAAGCATCGTGTGTCGTAGTCTTTAGATCTGTCGCGTTGTTTGTACTTTTTGCATTCAGTATCTTCGCTTTCTCTCTTTTCAACGCCCAAATATGTATCTTTCTCATTTAAAGTTCAAAAATTTTTGAAGATTTTAAAAAACGCGATCTATCCATGCTATGACTCCATGTGCTCGTAAAATCCAAACAGGGATTTTGAAAAGAAGAACTACAAAATATTCATATATCTCTACATTTTGAGGAAATCTACGAAAATGTTGAATGCAGGAAGTAATTGGTTCATGCGAGTCACAAGGCGTGCTAAAAATTTGCACCTAGACAGCAAGACATCCATACCTTTGAAGCCTGAACTTAAAACTTTACCAAGTTAGAAAACGTTTCTGCCTATTATTTATATTAACATTAACTGTCGAATTGACAGATTACTTATATAAAATCACATGGATTATAGTTTTTCAGTATCCGATAAGTCGAGAGAACGATCGTAGAGTATATGTGTGGGGTCTTGCGGAACATGGTGCTCTTGGAGAACCACGAGCATTAAAAAAGAACAGAATTTCATATCTTTCAAAACCAAAAAGACTGTCCTTTGCTGAGCAACATAGGGTAACAGATATCGCTTGTGGTTATGGTTTTACAGCTTATGCTGTACATTCTTCGGATAAGAATATTGTTTATGGATCTGGCATAAATACTGATTCACAACTTGGTAACTAAAGATCTATTTTAGTTTTGCCAATATTATAAAGCCCCCCCTTCATTAAAAACAAACTTTAATTTTAAAAGTTATACTATAGTTTAGTTTTTCTACAACAGGTTACAATCTCGATGAGAAGTTTCTCAATATGATATTTATTCCAAAGCCAATAACTTTGCCATTACAGAATGCCTCAACCAAAATTATAGGCCTGGCTGCTGGAAGAGCACATTTATTAATATTAACAACAGAAGGTTTGTTTACATTAGGTAATAATGCATATGGTCAGTGTGGTAGGCCCATTATATTGAATGAAAATTATGAGAAAAGTACAGCTGTGCATCATATACCTGACATTAAAGGAAATAAAATTGTTGCGGTGACAGCTGGTCAAGATCACAGGTACAAAATATCAATTAAATATTATATAATTATATTATAATTCTCTTTCTAGTATTTTCTTATTAACATTATATAATAGCGTACTTTTGACAGAGACAGGTGGAGTATATACATTTGGCTGGGGTGCTGATGGACAAACAGGTCTTGCACACTATCAAAATGAACATCGACCAAGTTTAGTCAAGGGTGACCTGGCAGGACAGCGTATAGTCAAAGTTGCCTGTGCTGCTGACTGTGTATTAGCTCTTAGTGGTATGTAACTATGAAATGCATATACTCAGATCAAGTATTTGTATAAATTTTGAAAAACAATAGATGTAGTAAACTTTAAATCTTAAGGAATTAATTACAATCGAAATCGGAAGAACTATGGTTACTTAGCTATGATTAATCAATTTCTTAAGATTTACTACACCCATTATATTTCCATATAATATTAACATAACTAAAATATTTCTACTACAGATAAAGGGAAAGTGTATGGCTGGGGTAATTCGGAATATAATCAATTACCAATCAGAGAAGATAATTATCAAGTAAACATTGCTACAGAATTATATACACAAGAATTAGGATATATAACAGACATAGCAGCAGGTGGATGTTTTTGTATGGTTTTAAACAGTAAGCACCAAAACTCATAATAATTTTAATTTAACAGTTTTATTTTAATAATTACTATTTATGTTTTTATTTGATAATAGTTTTTGTTTTAAATATATTTTGTGTTAATTTTTGTCATGCTATATATCTCTGATTTTTGCTAATACATTTTATATATTATATATATTTTACATATTATACTAATATATTATGTTACAGATGATGGTAATGTCTTTGTATGGGGATACGGTATACTCGGTCTTGGACCTCAAGTGCAAAAAGTATTAAAACCAACCATGATTCCTCCTACATTGTTTGGCAATAATGTATATAATCGTAATGTCAAGGTAATTAAAATAATTTAAATTTATTAAAAAAATCTTTTCAATCCGAAAGCCTTTTGTGAACATATTCATGAACTATACATCATTAAATACATTGTTAGATAACAAATATATACTGTGGAATCAATCAACTGGCAGCGTTAACCAACACAGGGGATTTATACATGTGGGGTTGTAACAGATTTGGGTCTTTGGGATTAGGGCATGTGAAGGATCAATTTTTTCCCTTAAAGGTAAACATAAAATATAATTTACAAATAAAATATGAATAAAAAATATATGCGTGCATCTATATAATGATAGTTTTTTGTCTGCAACAATTTGTTTTCTTGTAACAGGTTGCAGTAGGAGCTCAAGTGAGAAAGGTTGCCTGTGGAGTGGATCATACAGTGACTCTTTGTAAACCTTTTATTTAAAGAAGCAATATCATTATTTAAATATTAGTTTATTTATTTAATTAAGTTTCACAATATTTTCTATTTTGAAACTTTCAGCGCCATCAATACATATGAATAAAATGATTCCAAAATATCTTATTTATGTTTATTGAATAATAAAAGGTATTAAGTAATATTAAGTAATATTTACAATTCTAATTCAAATTTGAGGAATGTTGAATTACATGATATGATTTTGTTAAAAAAAGATAATTTTGCAATCTCTACTATCTTTTGTATTTTTTATTACAAAAATGTATATATCATACTTATGATTAAAATGAAGATATTCAACATATTTGTATTTGCATTACTTTCACATACCAAATTCTCATAGGAAATGGTGTATTTGATCATATGAGGAAATCTGCACTCATCTGGACCTAAAGAAATATAATATTAGGTGATTTATAAGAAAAGAAAAGAAACATTACGTTTTTATAAGATATTATATATGTGTATGCGTGCGTGCATGCGTGCGTGCGCGTTATTTAAGAGTACATATACTTAAAAAAAAATGAGTGTATTCAGTACTACTATCAGCGCACCTATTAGATTTCGATCAGAATTATTCAATTATAAATTTCAAATCTAGATTTTGATTGTATTTTCTAGGAAATAATTCCGATCGGAATCGTTTCGAAATGTTCCATAATAGATACTCTGCTCAGTGAGTGTTCAGTGTCTCACTGAACGGTTATTGTACTGGATGCATTCATTGTGATATATTAACAGTTATTATATATTAAATTTTTAATTTAAATTTATAATTTTTTTTGTGTTTACCATATTTAAAATTTGTAGTTGAAGAATTGGCAATGATTAAGAGATACAACGGATCGCAAAGATGTATCAAACCAGCATCACCGCAGGAAAATTCAATAGTACTTGCATTATTATTTATTGATACACAGTCATTTGTCTCATTAATATTTTGAAAACGTTGCGATTTACATACTTTTAGATTATCATCACTTTGAATCTAAAGAAATTTATTTATTAGAATATTTATTAGAATATTTATTTATTAGAAAAGATATTTATTAAAAAAGAAAATATTTTTTGTGTATGAAAAGTTTTACCGTTATCTTAGAAACATGATCGCTGTTGATAGAAAAGAAATAATTAGGATGCATTCTGTAAGAGACTGTTTTATTCGGTTCAATATAATTGATAAATGAATTCGACGTTCCAACTATAACATAATTGTCTCCACATTGTGTATTGATTAACCGCTGTGGAACTATAACGAGAATATAAGATGAAATATTTGTAAAATTATATAAATTCAGATTTTAAAGGAAACGATCTGATCCTACACATACCTTGTTTTATTCTCGAAATTAATTTAGTAATTGTCGCTGAATCTCCTATATCGCCTGCAGCAGTTACAGCAAACAAGTCAGTTGATGATATAAGATCTGTCCATCTATCTATCGATCCATAAGTCAACATAAGTAATGTGGCATCTGCAATAATATAATATAATGATAATGAAGCTTCATTTACTTCATGTGAACTATTTTTACATTGTGGGAATTTTATTTTTCCAGAAAATTTCGCAAAATTTCCTGACTTCCATGACTTTCTTGATTTTTTCCTGATTTCTTTGATTTCCAGTTTTACGGCAATTCTAGATTTGTAGTAAACAACTTCTCGCATCTAGCATCCACTGATTAAGAAACACAAAAGTCAACAAAAATCAAAATGATATCAAAATAACTTTATTTTGATGTTAGTTAAAGTTAGTTAATAAGCAGTCAAATGTTGTAACTAAAAGTCATTATTTTGTTATCAGAGAAAATGAAAATACGTCACTTTGACTTTCTCTTAACTATAATAGAGTGTGTTCCTTGAATGGTCGTGTATTTGGTGATAAGTTAGGCGAAAACGTGTTCATTCGATGATCTTTACAAATTAATATTTTGTTAACTGTTTGCAAAATTACAAAATAGTAGATAACTTTTCAATTCAAGGAATCGATTGTATATCTTGAAATAAAAAAATTGCACAAAAATGAGGAAATACTTAGGTGTTGATCTGAATGATCAAATGTTAAGTGATGAAATTGTTAATATTTTAGAAATTTTTAGAATTTGTTCACTTTTTTATAATTTTCATCTCATTTCAAGATATACAGGATGTTTCTTAAATAACGCCCATTAATTATATAGTGCTACGCCCATTAATCATATAGTATCTAATAAAAAACTAAATCGAAAAATCCTCTATCATTTTACAATTTTCGCAATATTTTTTCTTAATTACCCTCTGAGCAAAATGTCTAAAATCGACATATAAAACAATTTTTAAGATATCTTTAAGAGTTCTTTAAGAAACATCTTCAAAATGTTTCACAAAGAACATTGAACAATACTTTAAAATGTCTTATGCATCGATTTTATCCATTTATTCGGCAACCTTTAGAAATTAATATCTCGTTAACTATAGTGAAAATTGCAAAATGATACAGAACTTTTCGATTTGATTTTTTATTAGGAAATAGCACTATATGATTAGTGGGTATTATTTAAGAACACACTCTGTATAATCGATTCTCAATTTAATTCGTTCTGCTTATTCATGAAAGATAATACCGTTATTCTGGGATCAGAATATTATATAGATAATAATTGCAGCTGATAGTTTTTATAGGAAATAATTTACCCGGCACTTGTTCTCGCATCTTCTTAATCTGTTGTGTGCAGTAGTCTTTATCAGAACTTGAGATAGATGATGTATATGGAATAATTAAAACCACATCAGATTTTGCATTTCCAAGACCATAACGTGTATCGTTTAATTTCTTTTTTTGCAAAACATACAATTTGTCAAGTGATTTAGGAAGATCGAAGTTAGTTCCGTTAGTAACTGAAAAAGTTATTTTCAAATTGAATCACTTGTAATAGAATACAATCATTTGAGATATATTATAAAATGTGCAAGCATACCATTATTTGTATAATTATTTATATTATATAAACCAAAGTTTAAAATACTGTTGGTAGTATTCAACATGATACTGCCATCATGACCATTAATGATTGTGAATTGACTGTTGTACCGATTTATGTCGATTTTATCCAATATGTTTCTATTAAGAAAAAAATAAAAAATCAGCTAAGTTTTATGATCAATTTGTTATTGAAATAACAACACAACAACAAAAAAAATCAAAAGACGGTTAAAGATGAATTAATAGAGGATGTTAATAATGAAGTATATTTAATGTGTTTAAAACATTAAAATTTCAAGCGAAACTAGTTTCGACTTTACAATATCTAATAATAATTATAAATTATTACTTTCGCTTGAAATTTTAATGTTATAAACATATTAAATTAAATGTATGAATTCATTATCATTAACATCCTGTATTATTAAATGTATTATTAAATGTATGAATTCATTATTATTAACATTCTGTATTATTAATTTGTCTTTGGCTGTTTTTGGTAATTTTATTTTTAGTTGTTAAAATAAAAAATATTTTTATTCATTGAAATTATGTTTATATAAGATAGCTTTAAAGACAGAAAGTAATGCATTACTCGTAATACGATTATATTATTATGTTTTTATAATAACGATATAAAATTTATAAAATTTTTATAAAATTATAATTTTTCATAACAATAATACTAAGGTTGAAATAATCACTTTTGGAAAAATAATTTATTATTACGCGTTTTTTTTATTGAAAAAAGTATACTTATTAAGGATTGATTGTTCTACCTTTTGGTAAAATGTTTTATCTGTTGGGTAAGTAGCAAGATTATTCAATCACATGCGCGGATTGCCAGATTTAATAGGTAAAATTTACCAAAAGGTGAAATAACCGGACCTAAGTGATAAATTACACAGTATTCCAACTATGTGCTTATATCAAACAGTACATGGACAGGTACTGAGGATGTTTTTCTGGATATCCCATTTCTTTCTCGGGAATGTCCTATAATATAGTAAGTGAGAAGTGCTCAACATCCTCAAAATGTCCTTAGGAGGATATTCTTAGGAGTCATATATTTCTTTCATATATACATATGCACATATGTACTAATATATAGTGATTTAGAACCTGTAGCATACTTAACTTTGTTACGAAAAATTATCAAATTGTTCTTATAAAAGGTAACTGCGTAGACGATATATAACGACATGACAAACGTTATTTACATGGATAAAATATATTTACGTATAATTTGTACTTACGCAATAATTGATTGTATTGCATCAAAAGACCATGTTATATCAATAATAATTGTTAGATCAACAGCAATTTGAGTAATAGCATCAAAATTTCCTGTTTCTGTCTTATTGCACGATAAATCGTTATCCATTGAATCTAAAATTTATACGCTTTACTCTTTATTTTATCTCAAAATAAGTATTTATTTTGTAAAATGCTGAATACCTATATACTCACCAACATAAAGAGCCAGCTGTTCTGTTGCTTGTGTTGCAAAATTTTCCATTTTATCGTCATTTATTGTAGCTTTATGCAAATATTCTTCCAAAACTAATGAAGCACTGAATGTCTAAGTGAAATGAACTGCTTTAATTTAAAAGGTTTGATTTATAATTTTTGAAAACTCATGCGTTTGTCGTGCGTATGTGTTAATGCATTGTGTAAGTGTGATAAAATTATTTACTTCTTATCAAAAATAATTAATTGATTTATTGAACAATATTATTTAATAAAAAAATGTGCACAAAAATGAAAATAATTATTTCTCGTAGTTTTATGAGCGCTACTATTTCAAATCTATATTCTATTATGTTACATTTGAAAAATTTTCAGTTAAAGTTGCATAAAGGATTATTTTAGTATATTTTGACATATAATCATGACGCATTAGAGAAATTTTGTTGTGACAAAAATTAAGTACTTGTTACTTTCATTCTTAAAAGTAATTTATGGTGTTGATTTGATAATATAAAAATATTTATAATTAATATAAGATCTATTATATTAAAGTTGTGAATTTACATATGCTATTAAAGCATATAATATCCGTCGCACAATGAAAATACAGAGATATGATTAAAATTAATATCGCGATATATTATTATCTAATATTTAGTAATAAAATAAATCAAAATACATATATAAATCATAAAATATATGTATAAAGTATATAAAATATATACATATCAATAAAAATGAAAATTAAGTGCTAATTTTTTTTATAAATTACTAATAATGCAATTAAGTCACAAAAAGTCGCAGATAAAATTTATTAAAGAAAGAATATTAAATTATTTTAATAGCCACAAAAAAAATTTCGGACCGATAAGCATGCAATTTTATCCTCAACGATATAAATGATTATATTTATAAGCTGGAAAAATACTTATACATATATTAATAAATATTTATCGAACAATTATTTATTAATAATGAATTTCTTTTTATACGTACAGAAATTCAATTTTGATAATCTCTATTTAATGTGCAAAACGATCTATAATGCATTCCAATAATTCTAATTGGTTGATTCCCACTCTATTACTTTTTTGAAATTTCGTTTTCCGAAATTCCGTTTTCCAAAATTCCAACTGTCATGGAAGAGCACCCTAAGTTAGCTAAGTTGCTAATCTCGATGCAATATTAATTACAAATATTTTTTTACATCATAATTATAATATACAAAAATATACTAAAAATAGCTTTTTGCAACTTTAACCGTTTCAAAATATACGTTCTAATTGTAATAGAATAATTTAATGAATAGAATTGTATTCACAGTTTAAAAAGCTATACGAAATTGATTACGTTCTTATGTTCTTATACTAAAAAAAAAGGTTTTTTTTTATTCAATAGTATAATGTATGCAATATTACCTGTTCAGACATTATCTGATTATAGTTGTTGGATATAGTTTTTTGGAACAATGTTTTTCGATTACATGCTCTAATTGTAGGATTAAATAATCCACGAGAGCTATAATATAGATCTAAAATCTGCGACAGTCTCAATTTAGGTACTTTTGAAAATAAATCTTCAATTTCCCTTGCAAGAATGAATCCATCAATATCTCCTCTAATCTCTGCCGCAGTAAATTGTAATTTGCTATTATTTGTCAGAAAATACCAACGGGGTATAGTTGATGAATTCCAATTGCCGTCTACACCTACTATAAACTTTTCATCCTGGTTATTTGTAGGTCCTTGCATTAAAATAACTTCAGCTAAATCACCTGCAAATACATAAATTTTTTGTAATTTCCTACTGTGGATGTCGTATTAAACGATTCATTGATAAAATAATCTGAGAAAATAGTTGAAAAATCATGTTTGTAATTGATCAGTTTATAAATGCTAATTTTCTGATGCAATTTCCTAATCAGCAGACAATATTAAAAAAAATATTTTTAAAATTTTATTTAATGTAAAAATATTAAATAAATGTTTAAAAAATATTTTTATTTATTGTGTGTTAATTCTGTGGATTTCTTCAAAATTTATACATCATGAAACAGTACAAAATATGAATATAAAAAATAAAGCTTTATTACCAGTTATGGTTGCAATCCATTTATTATCCAATGACAATTTTGATAAATTTGTTCTTCTCTCTGTGTTATCGTCGCTAAGAACTTCCGAGAGTGCTATATCTTCAGGTTGTAGACCAGCAGCTATACCAGCAATTAGCGGTCCGGCAGAAACTGAACCCCAGCTATGATAATATAATTCATTAGGATACTGTTAACAGAAAGTGGCTAGACTCTCTAGTCGAAGACACGAAGACAAACATTGTGTCAATATATTATTGTTTAGTCGCAGAGTAGGTATATAGGAAATGGCGCTTTTACAATACTTGTTTGTAAATTTGATGAGGAAATAGTATTACCATGCAATTACATAAAATTTTGTACACATACTAATAAAACTCAAATAAACATTCGTACAAAAGTTTATTTGAATTCACTTACTCGTTAAAAGTTATTTATTTAAAATTATAGCAAAAGGCTCATTTTCATTTTACAATAAGCTACTTTGCTGTGAAGAGGGGCGTGGTTTAGCCAACTGAGCACACCATGTAAAATATTTTCAACACGAGCTAGAAGCATTATAAATTTAAGCCAAACAATAATTTCAAGAGAATTATGAAGACAAGGAGTGATGTCAAGGAATAAACAATAGAGTTTTTAAATTAGAAGGGCCATCATATCATGTATTCTGGGAGAAGTGCAATGAATTTGTAAAAACACAAATAAAATCTTACCTTTATGCATGCAACGGAATACAATCATACGGACATAGTCATTTGATTAATTAATTTTTTTATGCGTTATGCAAAAATCTGTGCTGCCTTTAGTAGGCATTAATAGGAAGTAAACAGTAATATTATTAAGAATGAAAATATAGATATGTTTACGCTACAAATACAGATATTGTGTATAAAAATATAAAATCTACTACTTACGCAGTTTTTATAACGCCATTCTCTATAGGACAACTGCTTAGTGGTTTGTCAACTAATCGAGCGGTCTTTGGGTGGTTCGGTGGAAATTCCGAATACATAGCGTTTGGATCAAACACATGTTTGGTAACTTCGTCTTTGTGTTTTGTAATAACATCGCTACGTTTGCAATCAAAGTTTTTAAAAATAAGTCCAATATGTATATTATGTATGCCATATTAAAAAAATACATGATGTATAAAAATTATAAAATTTAGTTTTCATTATTTTATATATTTCAAAACAATCTGATATAATATATTATACAGTTTTGATAATATTTGATATCATTGTTGACATGAAGCATAACTGACACGATTTCATAATAATGTGAATAAGAATTTTATTAATCTTCAATGTATCAATTTTTCTTTAAGTGTAGCGTCATTATTATAATAATTTTTGATTTTTATGAAGAAAAATACATTTAAAAATTGTAACATTTGTGCTCAATAGTATCAAATGAATTTGTAAGATGCTCCTGTTTTCGCAAATTACATATTACATAAAAACAGGAAGATCAATTCTTCAAAACAATATGTCTCGCTGATCGTAAAATTATTCATCTATATTACCAACATATTTTATGAATTGTTGAAGAAGGATCTGTGAGTTCTGAAATGTACGATTTATTGCATTAAGTTTTTCTGATATTCACTGTTTATCATGCTAACATTGTATGCGATTAAATTACTTTATATAAACTTTATTAGATTCAGACCGTTATTTCTTTACACTTTGCATTGCAAAAAATGAGCGAATTTTAATTACATTTAAAAATGTTGAAATAAAACGATTCCCAGCATGGTCGCAAAAATTCTTAAAAGTTGTATACATCCTCCTTTATAATGTGTTCATATCGCAATTACTTTGAATTCTAATCATCTAAACTCTAAAGTAAACATACACTATAGATTTGGTTATAAAAATTATAATAATTATTTTAATTTAACTAAATAATGTTTTTTAAAATTAATTTTTAATTTAATTTAAGTTTATTTAACTCAACTTAAATTTTAACAAAATTAATTAGTTTATGTAATTTTTATAAACAATTTTTATAAACAATTTTATAAACAATTACTCTTATAAGGCATTAACCCTAACTATACACACTGGAATTCCAAAAATCCTAGTATAATATTTGTTAAATCGATTTTTTCATATTTTTGAACTTTTTTTTTTTAATCTATATCTCGAAGCTTAATTCTATCGTCTTTTACACATCATGGACCTGTTCCTTAATCGATTCTCCATCGAAAAAAATTAATTGAAACATGTCTATTTTCATGAAAGAATTACGGTATCTAATATGGATGGGGAGATTCGAGTGTGTATATCAAAGATAGAAAAAAAGAATGCGCATAATTTATTATAAGGTTAATTATATTGGAAAAAATAAAAAAAAAAGTTAATTAAAATAACTAATCTTTAATTTTTAGTTAAGAAAAAATTTAATTTAAAACAAATTCTGGAAAATATTTGTAAAATTGATTGTAAATTTATAATGAATACCATACTATAATCCTTTTTTATAACTATTGGAAAAGAAATATGTTTTTTAAATATAGTGTAGGATTTCTTTTGTTTAATTATATTTTTAATGTGTTACTTTTTTGTTCAGACAGTTGAGTTAAATTGTTTAAATTATATTACTTACATTTGTTCAGGTGTCAAGGTTTCTACATCATCGTGCATATCTAAATTTGTATTAATGGAATAATTGCTAATAACACTTCTCACACTTCTGAAAGGGCGAGTGTTAGTCAATCTACACTCTTTGTTTTCATCCTCTCTTTGGTACATTTCAATACTGCTAGACAACATAAAATGAAGAGTACACTGCAAAATAAAGATAAAATATTCGTCAGATAAAAGTTTATCCAGATCTATATATAAAATATAAAATAGTTTTGAAAACTATTCCCTATTTCTAAACTCTGACTGAGTGAATCATGTAACTTTTTCCTAAGGACGTGAAAAATAAAAAAAAAGTTTTTTTCATACATTAGTATAAGTTTCATACATTAGTATAATAT